GGAGAAAGATGGAACATATTCCTCTTACAAATGGAAAACAAACAAGGATGCACTTTAACCTCCCCCTATTCAGTATTGTATTGGTAGTCATAGCCAGAGTGATAAGACAATAAAGGAAAAGAAAAGACATCTGAATTGGAAAAGAAGTAAAATTATATCTATTTGCAGATGATATGATTTTAAGCATAGAAAATCCTAAAGATTCAGCAAGGAAAGTACTGGAACTAATGAAAGGATGCACCAATGTGGCATGGTACAAGATCAATATTCAAAAATCAGTCAGATTCCTCTACATTAATAAAGAGTATTCTGATAAAGTAATCAGGAATACAATACCATTTACAATAGCCATCTAAAAGATGAAGTACATAGGAATAATTCTAACCAGAGAGACAGAAGACCTATACAAAGTAAACTGCAAAATTCTACTACAAGAAGCCAAAGAAACCTACAGAAATGGAAGAATACACTATGCTCATGGATAGGAAGACTTAATATTATGAAAATATCAGTACTACTCAAAGTGATCTACAGATAAAAAGCAATCCTAATCCAAATTACACTCTTCAGAAGGAAGATGGGGCAATTTACTTCTGTAGTGATACTGCCTCAGAAACCCTAGGAGGGGTTGCTATGAGTTGGGTCCTACTCGACAGCACAAAGCAACAACAACAATCCAAATTTCATCATGATTCCTTTGTTGTTATTGTTATGTGCCCTTGAGTCAACCCGACTCATAGTGACCCCTCCTTGGGTTTCCGAGGCTGTATCACTATGGAAGTAGAGATTGCCCAACCTTCCTTCCGGGGAGTGGCTGGTGGATTTGAACCACCAGACTTCTGGTTAGCAGTCAAGTGCCTTAGGCACTATGCTACCAGAGCTCCTTCATGATTCCTTAGAGAGATGGGAAGACTAATCACTAAATTTATGTGGAAAGGAAAGAGAACTTGGAAAAGCAAAGCACTTCTGCAAAAGAAGAACAAAGTAGGAGGTTTCACACTCATCAATCTCAAAACCTACTATACAGACACAGTAGGCAAAACAGCCTAATACTGGTATAATGACAGGCACATAGACCAATGAAATAGAATTGAGAACCCAGAAATAAACACTTCCACCAATTGATAGATAGTTGATCTTTGGCAAAGGGCCAAAACCCATCAAATGAGGAAGAGATAGTTTCTTTAACAAATGGTGCTGGCAAAACTGGATGTGAATTTGGAGAAAAATGAAACAGGATCCATATTTCTCACCATATACAAAAACTAACTCAAGATGGATCAAAGACCTAAATGTAAAACCTAAAATTATAAAGATCATCAAAGAAAAAAGAAGGCCACACTTAGGGGTCCTAATACATGGCATAAATACACTATCAAACATAACTGAAAATGCACAAACCAGCAGAAGATAAATTAGACCACTGAGACCTTCTAAAAATTAAATTCACGTGCAACTCAAAAGACTTCACCAAAAGATTAAAAAGAGAATTTACAGACAATGAATGCCATATTGGGTAAGGGAATAATCTCTAAAATTTATAGAAAACTTCAACCCTTCAACAGCAAAACTATTCAATTAAAAAATGGGCAGAGGGCATGAACAGACACTTCACCAAAGAAAACATTCAGAAGGCCAACAAATGCACAAAGAAATAGTTATGATCATTAGTCATTGAGAGATGCAAATCAAAGCAACAATACAATACCATCTCACTCCAGCATTAACAGTAAAGTTGAAAAAAAAAAAAGAAAACAACAAATATTAGTGAGGTTAGAGAGAAAGTGGAACACTCATGGGCTGCGAGTAGGAGTGTAAAGTGGTGTGACCACTGTGGAAACGGTATGATGATTCCTTAAAAACTGGAAATAGAAATAGCATGTAATCTAGAAACCTTACTACTAAGGATATATTGTAGAGAATTAAGAGCTATGATGGGAATGGATACATGCACACCTATGCTCGTTGCAACATAATTTACAATAGCAAAAACATGGAAACTACCTATATGCCCGTCAACAAATGAATGGATAAACAAGCTATGAACATACATACAATGGGATTGTTTTAAAGAAAACTATGGATCTGTGAAACACCTCATGCATGGATGAATGTAGAGGACATTTTCCCAAATGAAATTAGTCACAAAAGGATGAATACTATATGATACCACTACTGTAAAAAGTCAAGAAAAGGTTAAGACACAAAAAGGAACATTCATTCTTTGATGTTTACCAGGAGGGAAAAGGAGAGAAAATCACAAACTACAGGGTAGACACATATTGACTTGTGCGTAGGGAAGGTAATATGCAATAAGGGTGAGGTCATCATAAAACGATCAAGGCAAAAGAAGATACTGGGAAGAACACAAGAGTTAAAGGCAACAGAAGTAAATACTGCTACATATACAATCACATAATAACAGTAATAACAATAATCTATGAGTGGATATTGTTTTGGTTATGAGTGCTGCTCTGACAGAAATATACCACAAATAGGATGGCTTCAACTAAAGAAGTTTATTCTCTTACAATTTTGGAGGCTAGAAGTCTGAGTTCAAAGTGGCAGGCTCTAGGGGCTGGGTGAAAGCCCCTCAAACTTGGGCTTTGGCTCTGCCTCCTGCTCCCAGCCCACTGAAGCTGGAGGCTTTTCTTCACTCAGGCCGCTGCTGGCTGCTGAGGCTGACAAACCCAAGGCTGACAAGCAAAAAGGCACAGTTTCAATGTTATCAAACAACATGGAAGGCCACTAATTCAAATCCAGAAGTCCTAAGATCAGCAGGACATGGCAGGCTATTGAACAAAGATTTGGGTTCAAGCATGCCAAAAAGCTGGAAACCTTCTTCAAAGCTACTTCTTATACACTGCTTCTTATATACTGGAAGCAGACCACATCTCTAAAGCTGCTACTCAGTTGCTCCAGGAGATTCCAACAAAGACTTGATTGCCAATCTCACTATGGGGAATGACTGTATCCAATTGCCCAGCCACTCAACCAGGCCCAGCCAAGTTGACACACAAACTTAACTACTACAGATACATAGATAGACACACAAGCTGAACAGATGTAGGAAGGCAAATATGACTACACTCACAAACATATATATGTTTGGCAGAGGATATTTCCACTTATGTATTTATATGTGCTGCAAATATATCCATGAATATAATAGGGCATAAAGGGAACAAAGTTGTGAAAACTTCTTAAACGTAGTCAAACACATTGAGTGAATGAATTACTGTGCCTGGGTGCTCAGGACCATAGTCTCAGGGGACACTAAGGTCAATTGGCATAATATAGTTCACAAAGACAATGTTCAATATTTTACATTGTTGAGTATATCTGGAGTCTTAAAACTTGTGAATGGCCATTGTGGTAGTGAAGATTGTGTGTCGACTTGGCTGGGCTGTGGTTTTGAGTGGCTGGTAGCTGGATGTAGTTATTCGCCATGATGAGATTGTAATCACCTTCATGATGGAATCATTTGTGAGCAGCTAAGTAGTTGTCTTTAGGGTGTGTCCTGCTTCCAGTGTAAAAGGAGAAGCTTTCAGAAGGGTGTCTAGCATTTTTGCACATCTAGATCCAGCCTTTGGCTGAGTCTTCATGTCAGTGGTGTGCCGTGTTGCCTGCCAATCTTGAGATTGTTCTTGGAATTGAAGCAGTGCTCTTCCTGTTGCCTGATGATCTTGAGATTGTGCCATTCTACCTGTCGACCTTGGATTTGCCAGCTTCAGCAGTTGCATGAAGAGAAGTTACAAAAAGCCTCCAGCTCCAGTGGGCCTGGAATAAGAGGCAGAGCTGAAATTCAAGGTTGAGGAGCCTTCTCCCAGCCCCTAGAGCCAGCACTGAATTTGGACTTCTAGCCTCCTAGACTGTAAGAAAATAAATTCCTGTTTGTTAAGCCATCCATTTGTGATATGTCTGTCATAGCAGCACTAGAGGACCAAGACAGCCATCTAGAGTGCAATTATTGGTTTTTCTCTGTCCAGAGAAAAGAAGAGTGAAAAAAATCAAAATCACAAGGAAACAATTATCCTAAAGGACTAATGAACCATGTCAATCTCAACCTCCTTGACCCTGAGACCAGAAGAACTTGATGGTGGCCGGGCACCACTGCTGACTGCTCTGAAAGGGATCACAATAGAAGATCTTGGATATATATAGAGAAAAATGTGGAATAGAACTTCAAAATAATAAAAACAATCAGAATTACTGTTCTGATAGAGACTGGTGGAACCTCTGAGCCTATGGCCATTAGATACCCTTCTAACCTGGAATTGAACTTGCCCCTGTGACTCAACTTCCAGTCAAACAATAGACAGTCCTATAAGGTGAACAAAAACACCAGGGAGATACACACTTTTTAGAACAATCAATAATATGAGATCAAAAGGACAGCATTTGCCAGAGGTAAATCTCAGAAGGCAGGAAGGGATACGATGGAGGACAGATGGAAACAGTAAACACAGGGTGGAGGTAGAAGAATAGTGCTACATTGTGGGGATTGCAATCAATGTTATAACACAAAATGTGTATGAATTATTGAATGGAAAATCAATTTGCTCTGTAAACTTTCACTTAACTCACAATAAAAAGTATTTTTTTTTAAATGATTTAAATACAGATACCTAAAGCAAAGAATAATACATTTCTCTCTGTGTATATGTGACGGCTTTCTCTTTTTCCCCAACTCTTAAAATAACTTTTTATTGTTAGTTGCCAATGAGTTGATTCTGACTCATTGTGACACCATGTGTGTAGAGTAGAATTGTTCCTTAAAGCTTTCCAGGCTGTGACCTTTCAGAAGCAGATTTCAAGGCTTGTCTCTCAAACTGTCAACATTTCAGGCAGAAGTTGAAGGCATCACCATTTCATGACCCAGAGTTCCCAAAATAATTTTAGACATGTTCAGATAGAGAAAGATATTTCATAAGAACTAGTTTTAGAACACTCCTCAGTTTGAGCTTAGCAAGGTGAGAATGAGGGAATTATGTACATACTTTTGCTTGCCCAGCTTTTGTGATGGCAGGAATATTAAAGAGCTGGCCAGTATAAAAATGCACCCCACAGAAAAGGATCACTGCAATGGAATCTCCTTCCTTCTCAATCACTTCAAAGATATCCTCCATTCTCAATGTTTCTTCCCCCTAAAGCAGAGTTAAGCACAAGTTATATTATGTCCTCAGTAATATATTTGTCATTTCATATTTCCAATCTACATTTCACCATGAAGTCTTTCTCATCAAAAGAAATATCAAAATTTTTGTTTTGCTTTCAAATTTCAGACTAATGATCTTGAAATACTTGGCAAATGAGAAGCATTTGAGCATGATTTTCGTTATTATTAAGAAATGAGAATAAAATAGTGAAAAGAGATGTCAAAGTGTAAGTCATCACAAAAGCCTACTTGATCGATTTGGCCCCCAGGTTTTCAATTAATCTTTGCTGTCTGCACACCTAAAGGAGCTCTGGTGGTGCAGTGCCTAAGGCATTTGACTGCTAACCAGAAGATTGTTGGTTCAAATCTACCAGCTCCTCTGTAGAAGGAAGACTGGGCAGTCTACTTCTGTAAAGATTTACCACTTTAGAAACCCAATGGGGGCTGCTGTGAGTCAGAATTGACTTGATTGCAGTGGGTTTAGTTTTGGTTTGGTTTATCTGCACACTTATAAATGGTTTTTTCCTTATTCCAATCCAAGAAGAACATAGTAAGTTCAAGAAGTTCAAGAAATATTTTTACAAAAGGAATTTGTTAGAAATTGGTATTTTACTTATATGTCTAATATCAAGTTATTTTCCCAGAAAAAAAAAGTATCTATCTTTCATCTGTGTATTGCCTAAACAATCGAAAAAGTAAAAGCTACTAAAACCAGATCTAAAGACTAAGACTCAAACATGAAGAGAAATAATAAAAAAACTCTAAATGATCAGGGTTTTATTCCCCCATACCGCCCTACCTTGGACAACTGATTGATCACTTAGTAAAACTGTGAATAAATTTAGATTTTATTTTATAAAAGTTTTGAACAGAAAGGAGTGAGCTGAATAGAAAGTATTTGATTTTATCCTAAAAAATCTAATCTCCTTTTGAAGTATCCATGGCTTTTCTTCATTACTAAAACTGGCTTGATTCTGAGGTCAAGAATCACTAACTGCATTCATATTTGAGGGAATTATCAATAAGGTAATGATGAATTTTCCTTCAGTAATTTATATTTTTTTAAGTTCTGCTACTTGTCAATTACTCTGCTCCATGTTAAGCACATAAATAAACCAATAGAATACATACTTTAGTTTCTACTAGAAGCCTGGCACTTGTTTAGAAATAGGCTGGGGGCTATCCTTCACTTGGACATCTAGTAAAACAGGATTGCTATTGCTATTTAAGTCTCTGAATTATTAAGTAGATGTTACTTATAAAGTGAAGGTTTGATGAGATATATGTACACAGTGTACACACTGTGCATGTATATGAAAATAACTAAAATTGCTAGCATAAAAATCTAAAACTCCTTATTCTTAGAAGACTCTAACAGGGTATTTCTATCATAATTTTAAATAAAAGTAAGAAAATATTATATGTGATAATACTTTAAATCTCCAAAGAATCAGTATTAAGCAAATAAGAAATATATTTTTTCAACTGTAGGATTTGACCCTTTCTTATGTTAACTTGCTCTGAAGTAGTAATGTTTGGATGAACCCCTGAAACTGTTGCCCTGAAATAGTCTTTAAACCTTAAACCAAAGGTATCCCCTGAAATCTTCTTAAAACCAAACAATAGATTGGTTTAGCCAGTTAAAAAAAAAATCTGCCTTCAGCATTATACTCTTTTAAGAACTATCTATGTGAGATCAACTTGACAACAGCAACTCACAGGAGTATATAGTGGAGGAAAAAAAAAGATTGGATAGGAACTTTAGGGGGCAATGAGTTTATGTTAATGGAGGAGGGACATCTTAGAGGAAGAGGACAAGAATGATTGCACAGCTTGAAGAATGCAATCAAGCCACTGAATTGTACATGCAAAAACTGTTGAATTGGTGAATTTTTTAATATGTATATTCTCAAAAACAACAAAAAAATAAATAAAAAAAATTTAAATAAATAGTAATGCTAAAAATTCACCCCAGGTCTAGGATTAACTCATGAAGCTCCACTCCACCACTAACATGAACACTTCTGATATATTCAACAAAGCAACTCACTGCATTGAGTTGATTCTGACTCATAGTGACCCTGATTAGGTTTCTAAGGCTGTAAATCTTTACAAAAGTCAATTGCCTCATCTTCCTCCTGCTGAGCAGCTGGTGGGTTTGAACAGCTGACCATCTGGTTAGCAGCCAAATGCCTTACTCACTATGGCACCAGAGCACCTTTATGATATATTAGCTATTTTCATTTATTCTAGAAGTTAGTAATTTATATATGATGTATGAAATGGATATCTTCTTACAAGTGTGAGAACTTCTTATTCTATTAATTTATTGCATGTTGTTGGCAAGGAGAATAGAGTAGGTGTTTAATTTCGTCAAAGTAATTCTGGGTTGAAAGAAATAATTGTTCAAACATTAGTTTAACAGCCTGGGAACATCATATCTGAAACCTAAAATTTAGTCTGTCTGATTCTCTTGGTGCTAAATTACACAAACTACAGGGTTTATATGTCACATTTGGTACAACTACTAATGTGAAGTGCACAGTATTTCAGATCTTGAATATATGGTCAAGTAGATGAATTCTTTGTTATCTGTTTTAACATAAAGGAGTCTCAGAGAGAGAAAATACTTTTCTCAAAGTCACATGCCTAAGAAGGGCTGGCTCTGGGGTAAGTCAGCCAGGCTGCAAAACTCAAGCTCTTTACACTACATAATGTTCCTTTCTATACCTCAGCCTAAACAATGAAGAAAGTGTTTGACACACAGATTAATAGGAAACATGAAGGTTGTTGTTGTTGTTGTTATGTGCCGTCAAGTCGGCCCCGACTCATAGCGACCCCTCCTTGGGTTTCCGAGGCAGTATCACTACGGAAGTAGGATTGCCCAACCTTCCTTCCGATCATCATGTTTTTACTACTTCCCTTCGCAGTGAAGAATATGGCAGACTCCAGCAATATCAACAGAAAAATAGTTGGCTTGCCATATAGCTATCTCTTGGAAAAAGAATATAAAAACACTTCTGAGCTAATTCTCTATTTTAAACAAATTACCTAATAGTAACAAAAATAGAAATCTTTTATATTTTCTTGAAAGCTCCATTAAAGTAATGAAAAGAATAAACTTTTGTGGAAAACTGAAGAAAAAAAAATCAATACTAAATAAAAGAATGATGAATATTTATTTCTCTTTCTCATATACCTCTCTTGGCTTTATAATTCGCATACTCTTCTCAACATTAAGTCCGTGAAGTTGAAGCTGTGACTCAATAGCATACTGGAAAAGAAAAGTGATGTATTTAATCAAATCCAATGCACAGAACTACACTGAAATAACAACTCTGCAAACAACTAATGATGCAATAAAAAATTATATTATTATATTAAGTCCAAAGTCAAAGTAACTAAACAGAATATACCAGAAAGGAACAACTTAATATAATTTACATAGAAATCTGAACACTCTTGGAAACATGGATTAGTAGAAATGGATGGAAACTTAGGGATCATTTAGACTTTAAGAATTGGAAGAGATTTTTAGAATAAAGTTTTTAAATCACCTTATTTATGTCAAAACCAAAGTTTATAAAGTAACTAGTTGAGTAGTGTGGATGTGATATTAATAATGTTTGATAATTTCCACATTCTGCAGGATCACTTTTCTTTGAAATGGGTACAAATATGGATCTCTTCCAGTCAGTTGGCCAGGTAGCTCTCTTCCAAATTTCTTGGCATAACTGAGTGAGTGCCTCCAGCAGGGCATCATTTGTTCAAACATTTCAATGGGTATTCTGTCAAATTCTGAAGCCTGGCTGTTTGTCAATTCTTTCAGAGCAGCTTCAACTTCTTGTTTCAGTACCGTTGGTTCTTGGTCATATGCTACCTCATGAAATTGATGAACATCAATCTATTCTTTTTGGTCCAGTGACTCTGTATTCCTTCCATCTTCTTTTGATGTTTCCTGCATCATTCAATATTTTGCCCATAGAATCTTTCAACATTTCAACTCGAAGCTTACATTTTTTTCTCAGTTCTTTCAGCTTGAGAAATGCAGAGCACGTTCTTCTTTTTTGGTTTTTTGACTCCATGCCTTTGTACATTTCATTATAGTAATTGGCTTTGTCTGCTTGAGCTGCTCTTTGAAATCTTCTTTTCAACTCTTTTAGCTTGTCATTTCTTCCATTTGCTTTAGCAAATGTTCAAGGGCAAGTTTCAGAGTCTCTTCTGACATCCATTTTGGTCTTTCTTCCTTTCCTATCTTTTTAATGACCTCTTGCTTTCTTCATGGATGATGTTCTTGATGTCATCCCACCACAACTCCTCTGGTTTTGGGTCATTGGTGTTCAAAGCATCAAATTTGTTCTTTAGATGGTCTCTAAATTCAGGAGGGATATAATCAAGGTCATATTTGGTGCTCATGGACTTCTTTTAACTGTCTTCAGCTTCATTTTGAACATGCATAAGAGTAATTAATGGTCTGTTCCCCGATCAACTTCTGGCCTTATTTTGGCTGAAGATATTGAATTTTCTCCTTTGTCTCTTGCCACAGATGTAGTCAATCTGATTCCTGTGTATTACATCTGGTGAAGTCCACGTGTATAGTCATCACCTATGTTGTTGAAAATAGTTATTTGCAATGAATAATTCGTTGGTCTTGCAAAATTCTATCATGTGATCTCCAGTGTTATTTCTATCACCAAGGCCGTATTTTCCAAGTACTGGTGACTCTTCTTTGTTTCCAACTTTTGCATTCTGATCTCCAATTATAATCAACACATCTTGATTGCATGATCAATCAATTTTAGACTGCAGAAATTGGTGTTGTTGTTGTTATGTGCTGTCGAGTCGCCCCCGACTCACAGCGACCCCTCCTTGGGTTTTCAAGGCAGTATCACTACGGAAGTAGAAATCTTCAATTTCCTCATCTTTAGCTTTGGTGGTTGGTGTGTGAATTTGAATAATAGTAGTAGTAACTGGTCTTCTTTGTAGGTGTATGGATATTATCTTATCACTGACAGCATTGTACTTCAGGACAGATCTTGAAACACTCTTTGTGATGATGAATGACACATCATTCCTCTTTAATTTGTCATTCTCAGCATAGTAGATAATATGATTGTTTGATTAAAAATGGCCAAACCAGTCCATTTCAGCTCACTAATGCCTAGGATATTGATCTTTGTGCATTCCATTTCATTTTTTACAACTCCCAATTTTTCTAGATTCATACTTCATACATTACTGCATGTTCTAATTATAAATAGATGTTTGTGTCTGTTTCTACTCATTTTGAGTCTTGCCACAATAGCCAATGGAGATCCCAAAACTTTACTCTACCTATATCATTAAGGTCATCTCCACTCTGAGGAGTCAGCTCTTCCCCAGTCAAATTTTGAGTGCCTTCTGATATGATGGGCTCATCTTCTGGCACTATATAGGACATTGTGTCAGGGATATTCATAAAGATTTCCAGGAATATATCAGATAGTGTTTCACTGCCATTCATAAGGTTTTCATTGGCCAATTGTTTGTGAAATGGATGGCTTCTTCCTTCTTCTGAGTCTGTCTTAGCTCAGAAGCTCCAATGAATCCTGCCCACCGTGGGTAACCCTGCTGGCATTTTGCAACATGGTGGCATAGCCTCCAGCCTTATAGTAGCACACAAGCCACCACAGGACGACAAATTGACAGGTAAGTTTGTCTCCCTTAATTGTTCTTAACCCTTTTGCAGCTTCCTGCCTTGAGCAATGGCCTTAAAATTGAGCCTCCCCCAAGCAAAAAGCAGCCCCCAAACCCCAGCCCGCCTACCTCAGGCCTCAGCCTTAATATAGAGCCACATCCAAGTGAAAAGCAGCTTCCAAGCCTCAGGCCTGCCTACCTCAGGCCCTAGCCTTAAGATAGAGGCACCCCCTAGTGAAAAGCAGCCTCCAAGGACAATTAAGTACGAGGATCTTGAATATTTTTAAGATATTAGTAGTTTGCTCATTTTTAGTAAAGTAATGGTTATTGATTTGGACATAACTAAGTGCTCTAAAATTACATGAGATAAAGCCTAAGATAGTTAATTGTGATAATATGAAAGCAGAAATGAAGTTGCTCAAACATTAAAACTGAAATATGCTGCATAATTTCCTCAATCCAAAAAGTCATACATTTTATCAAATGACTTGCTGAAAAAATAAAACAATTTCTCTTTTTTGTGCTGTAGGAAATATGTTTAACCTTTAATAAATATTTTTTTAGATTCTAAAGCACCAATTGTTATTGTAGCATACAATGAAAACAAAAGACAAATAAAATTTCATATTCCTATTGTATTTAGCTGAAGGATTAAGCATGGAAATTTGTATTGATTTGATTTTATAAAATAAAACAGTAACAAGAATTAATAAAACATTTATAACTGCATTTGATTTAGACCAGCAGCTTGCTCAATGTTTTTAAAAAGAATAATAAGTCAAAGTTCCTATTCATTCCTTTCCTCCCTTAGCACATGAACAAAAGAAATAAAGCTACAATCTTTTATTTCATTTTTAATAAAAGCCTAAATCAAAAGCATTTGATAGATCTTTTTATTGTAAGGTTACTTAGAAAAGACTAGTGAATAAACATGCAAGTCAAACAAATGATATGCACCTCTAGGAAGAGTGAAAAGGATATAGATACAATTTGAAGAATCCTTACGTGATCTGAAGGGAAGGCTTTGGCTTCCAGAAGAATTTTATACCGTTTTGGTGTAGGCTTAAAAAAGGATAACTGCAATGAAATGGATTTTTTTGAAAAAATAAAAAAATAAAATTTATTCATTTTTCATTTTATGTCACATTTTCACTTTATAATCTACAGCATTTTATAGGTGTTAATTAATTAAACATCTATGATGTCTGTCAAGGGTACCTTTACCAATTAGCATTGATCCCAATGAATTATAAAGAGAAGGAAGATATTGTCTAATTATATTTATCAATGGAATGCAAGCCCAGAGGAGAGGTAAATTACATGAAAACAAATTCTCAAATTTTACTTAAATTTTAATTGCAAAATTATCTTCTAAAAGTATTTGATGGTAATTTCTTTAACATGAGATTGAAATATCATGTCTTATGGATATCATATTTATATCGATTTATCTTTCATTGCTGTTTTGGTTTTCAATACATAACGTTTCCACTGTTTCAAGGTTTTTTGTGGGATTTTATTTTTGACACAATAAAAATATCTCAGTCCTTAGATGAAATAATTACTATTTCTAGAGATACCAGGGACAAATGCCTTGATTGTTCAGCGGGACCTTTCATTTTTGGAAATGAAAATATGGCCTTGGTGATATATGGAAAATACATACTACTTGGTGTAGTTGGAAAATATGGCCTTGGTGATAGAAATAACACTGGAGATCATATGATAGAATTTTGCAAGACCAACGAATTATTCATTGCAAATGAATAATTCCATGTTCCTGGACAATGAGAGTGACAAGGCTAGCAATAAAAGTAATACTTATTGTTAATTAGATATTGATAATGGGCCAGAGTACTAACACAGTTTTCCCACATTATCATGTTTAGTCCATGGGCAGGTCTATGGATAGGTGTTATTGTCCTCATTCTTTATGGAGAAGAAAATTAAGACTTAGAGATGCCAGAAACCCTGCGCAAAGTCAAATTGACATTTCTTAGCTAGGAGTCAAATCTAGCAGTGTCTGAATATAAAAACTGTGCTGTTTAGCATCATACGTAAAATATTCTAAAGCATATTTCTTCAGGCATTTCTCAATAACCTCTTCTCCATTTTATTCATATAAACATTAATATCTCCAATGTACATTTTATCCTTGTAGCCATGTTTCCAAAAATACTAAGAAAATGAATCAAATTTTTTTTGAAACATTAACTCATTACTATATATACCATATCCCAAATCAAGAATATATTTTATATTTTAAGTTCTAAATATTTTTTGAGTATTTAGGATGAAATAAATATTTTAAAAATAGTAACTTGTTTAAGGTACTAGACCTTTTTTTTCTCCCCATATTAGTTTTATTTTTCAATTCTTTTTTAATCCATGTTCAAAAAATAATCTGTAAAAATATAGTGAACCCTGATCCTACTTGGCTAAAATCCAGTATTTTGGAATGTTATCTTTCTAAAAAGTTTAATTCTTTGATAGCATTTGTATATCATTGCTTTGTGTATGGTCCTAAGCAGTTTTTCTTTTTACTCACTGTAATTCTTATTCTTTATGTTCTGAGATAAGAATTGTTTATTATTCTAAAGCTCTTTGTAAGAGTCAACTCTCCTATGATTATGAAGAAGCCATTATATTATGGTCCAGCATTTCCTGATAAGAATGAAAATAACCTCACAACTTATTTAAAAATAAGTAAACCAACAGATGGTCATGCATTAAAGATGGAAAAGCTTCAGATTTTGTAAATGAGTGTATACTAAACATTGGTGGGAAAGGAAACTTACCAGTAGAAGATGTAAATTAACAGTCAAAGCATTCATTAGAACTATTTCTTTCTCATTAGCTCCTGTAAGGTAAACATATCATAATTTAGATACTTCTAAAATAACTCTATTGAAAATACTTGGAAAACAAGGTAGAGAGGCTTCACTCTATCATTCTTAATGTTTTCAGAGATAAGGCTATGTTTGATGTGTCATCACAAAGAAATGGAAGTTTTCCCACTTGACTCGTTTTATCGAATTGCATCTGGACTCATGTGAACATAGCTAGGTAAAAATTATACTTTCTTTTTGATGTAGTAAATAACAACAACAAGAAGAAAAATGAAGCATTTGCTTTTTCCTGTAAAATGAAAATCATGTATACTGTTTTCAGCTAGTTTGCCAAATTCCTAAGTGGTACATTTCTGTGGATGCTTTTGAGTTGTGGTGCTGGCGAAGAATGCTGAAAGTACCATGGACTGCTAAAAGAACTAACAGATCTGTCCTGGAGGAAGTGCAGCCAGAATGCTCCTTGGAAGCAAGAATGGCCAGACTTCGTCTCACCTATTTTGGTCATGTTGTAAGAAGGGACCATTCCCTGGAGAAGGATGTCATGCTTGGTAGGGTGGAGGGTCGACGAAAGAGGGGGAGGCCTTCAACGAGATGGATTGATACAGTGGCTGCGATGATGGGCTCGAGTATAGCAGGGATTGTGGGGCTGGTGCGGGATCGGGCAGTGTTTCGTTCTGCTGTGCATGGGGTCGCTATGAGTCGGAAACGACTCGACGGCACTTAACAACAACAACAACATTTCTGTGGTAAGCAATCTCCTAAAGAGATCTAAAAAGATATTAACGCCAATCACATTTTCAAAGCTAGCTACTTGTAATGTCAAATTAAAACGCACCTTTAATAAAAGAAGCCTACTTTGCCAAACAAAATTCACTGTTATTACAGTGAGATATAGAATAGTTTAAAAGACAAAAGAGCTAGGAAACAAAATATACAGACAGAAAGAGTTCTGGGATTTATTCTTACCCCTAAGATATAATTAATATAAGTGTATATTGTCTGATGAAGCACACATGAAAACTTAAGATATACACTACATAATAATAAAGTATAATTCCTAGTGGCCTTTTTGCTATTAGACTCAGAGACACAGAAGACGTTGGATACTTAAGATCTGTAACAGCAAGGATAATAATACTTTTCCTGTTTTGAGATCTTATGATATCTCTCAAAGCAATTAAAAAAAAAAAAAAAAAAAAAAATACCTGTTCACTATCACTGAGAAAAAAATGGGGAGGGGGTTGATGTGCTTTAATGTTTTAAGGCTACGCTGGGTGCCAAGGTGGGGTCACCATGAATCGAAATCAACTCGACCGCAGTAACTTTGGTTTTGTCTTTGGTTAGGTGTTAAAATTAAAAAAAAAAAAAAAAAAAGTTATAATACAAATAGTACATTTTGTATCCAAAGATATACTTCTGATAAAGCCACATTTTAAGATACTAGAAAGGAAAAAAAAGAAGAAATCTCACTGATAGATAGTTCCATGATAAGTTCACTTGAGGGGAGGTCATTAGAAATGAGTATGTAATTTAGGAATCTGTGTCTCATTAGAACCATTTAAGGAAGAAATTGTATTTTTAGTCAAGGAAAATTTCTTTTTGCATTTGCCACTTGTGTTTCTCTGCTTCATATGTATGCAAGGTTGGTAAACAAGTGGTGGATGTTAAAGATATATCCCTGGTAGTTGTAAGGTAAACAGTTCTTGAAGTTAAGGGACAAGAACAATCTCATTCCACACTAGTCTAAATAAAAAATTTCCTTGACATATTAGAGAGAGATCATGTGATAAGCTTGGGTTGCATACAGTAGGCATATTCCTACTCTTACAATATGAAAATCTTAAATATGGTAAGCAAAAAAATATAACCAGCAGTTTTATTATATTTGTTTCTCCACATTACGGTGTGAGGTTTAATTTATTTCTAAAACAAAACTTCATATACCTAACTTGATATTTTCCTTGATTCCCTATTAGCTATTTACTTGCATCTTTTCTGGAACTGAAAACCATTTATTTCCAAGGAAATTTGTGGCAGCAGAGAATGTGGCAGAAGGAAAATTAATATAAAAAGGGAGAACTGATAGAAAGACAAAAATCCTGGAGAATATACTGAGAAGAATGAAATAGAAGAAAAGGAGAAAACATGAGTAGTTATCCTAAAGGAAAACAAAGAAATGGAAGTCAGGGGGAAGGAGACTTATTCTTGATGTAAACTCATACATTCCATTTTGTTTAAAAATTCCAGTCTAATGAAAATAATTATAAGCTCCTGGGATATTTTAGTTCTTCAAATAATGCAAGGTGTTCATTTGAATGATCTAAAATTACTCTTACATAGCAGAGTGATAAATTTACATACACAGCACAGAGCCTAATTGCACCCCTACCCACATCCAGGTCTGTAAGGCTAAATTTTAGTCTGGAGATACACTTGGTAACATTCTTTCCTTACCTCACTTTCAATGGCATACTTACACTTGGATTAATTCTTAGTAAATAATTCCTCACTCACTTTAATAATTGGTTTGGCTTTCTCCCCACAAATTATCACACTACAGACAAGTTTAAATTAAATTCAACATAGCACTCTACAACATGTCATTTTCATCTACGATGGTTAATTTTATGTGTGACCTTAGCTAGACTATAGTGTCCACATTTTGGTAAACACTAGTTGATTTATGGACTAGTTACATGTGATTAAAGCAGTTGGCGTAAATAAAGCAGATTGCCTTTCATAAAGGAGGTGCTCTGGTGCTCTGGTGCTGTGGTGCCTAAGGTGGTCAACCAGCTGAAGGTCTTAAGAGAAAAAAAAACGATTCTCTTTAGAGTTTGTTCTGCCTCTAAACTATAAGTAGATATTTTGGCAGAACTTCCTCTTCACTCTGCCTGTTGCCTGACCTATGAATTTTGTGACAGAAGTGTGTAGGAATCTCAAGTCTGTCACTCTACCTACAAACATTGGACTAGCCACTACTCCATAATCATATGAGCTAGTAGGAGTCTTCTGTCTGTTGCATGACTTATAGAGTTTGGACTTGCCACCCCCCTAAAATTGGTGAGCCAATTCCTTAAAGTAAACCAATCTCTCGTTCTCTGTCTCTCTCTTTATGTTTCTCCGTAGAACTCTAAGTCACTTGCTGTTGAACTTTATCTGACTACAGAGTCAGTCTCCACACACCTCTATATCTGGGAGTAGTTCTAACATTAAAGTTTCAAAACATAACAGAAGTGTTTATTCCAGTTATAAACTAAACACATTCAAGAATTTAGGGTTCTTAATACATCGGAAGGAAGGTTGGGCAATCCTACTTCCGTAGTGATACTGCCTCTGAAACCCAAGGAGGGGTCGCTATGAGTCAGGGCTGACTCGACGGCACATAACAACAATACATTGAAGTACCACAGTACAGACTGATTTTTAGTGTATTGCAAAGGAAATTTTCCTTAATTGATTCTCTTTTGGTTAAAATTGTGTTTCTGAAACCAACATTGTTCTAAGATATTTCAATATTATCAACAGTCCATAAAGAAGAAATAAAATAAAATTATTTTTCAAAAGCAAGCTGGAATTGTTTCAAGTTGGTTTCTTTTGTTTTTCTTAAAACCTGTCTTTGAGTTAATGTGAAGGCTTCAAGAAGTACAATACTTTGGGGAACTTTCCTTTTTAAGTTTCTGTAAAGTATGTCATGATTTGAAAGGATTTTTATTTTAAAAGATCATCTAGAAGTCACTGAAATAAATATCAGATTTGACTCAATTCATCAGAGGTGGACTTGAGCCAAAATTCTCATTCAAAGAGTGCTTTTTTGTTTACTTAATAATTGGTTTATTTTATTCATTTATTTATTGATCATCATATTTGACTTTTCCAGAAGAGGAAGCTTAATTAAATGGAAACATTGCCCTCTTGCCTCAATGCCTGACAAGCAAACATTTATTGAGCCCTTACTATATGTCCACATTAAGTATGTGACCTGCATTATTTCATGTGATCTCTGAGTAACTCAATGAAGTATCTACTCTCATGTTTCTCATTTTATCATTGTGGAAACTGAGGCCCAAACAGATGAACTAACTTGCCTAAATGTCACAGATTGAAAATAAATGATAAAAATCCCAGCCTATAGGAGCTCTAGTGTTGCAGTGCCTAAGGCATTTGACAGCTAGCCAGAGGTTGGCAGTTGAAATCCACCAGCCATTCTGTGGAAGCAAGATGGCGTGATCTACTTCCCTAAAGATTTACCACCTCAAAAAGTCAGTGAGGGTTGCTGTGAGTCTCAATTGACTCCGTGGCAGTGAGTTTGGTTTTGGTTTAGTGGTCTTAGAAAAAAGAAAAAAAAAAACTTTTTTCCAAGATTACTTAGAAGCAGTGTTTGCACGGTCTACTCCCTATAAATAGTTTTGGTGGCCTTAGTAGTTAAAGAGTTTGGCTGCTAAAGAAAAGTTGATTTGTTGGAACCATCCAGGGGAGAAAGATGAGGTAGTCTGCTTCCACAAAAATTTACAGCCTTGGATTTCAAACCTTTTCCAAAGTGAGGCGAAGAGGTTCCAAAATGTTTAGTATTTGATAGGTAGGTAAATGATAGGCCTCATAACTGCCCTTCCAGGTTCTGTATATTTTGTTAAGTAGATGCAAATGTTAATTGGGATTTTGGTTGTCACATTTGTAGTCAGGCTAAGTCCAACAACTTTACAATTAATTTTTAGTAGCAAATTTCTGCGGCCTTTAGAGGCAGCTCCTGCATGGCTGAGGGTCTATAAATGGGTAGAGCTTCAGGGATTATTGTTTCTGTAAGGGTCAACTACAAGTTTCATAAAGCAAATATATGTTCACATTACAACATTTTTATAAGCTCAACTGCATATATAGCCCTTTGTGATTTTTATGTATCCAGGGAGAAATAGGCTTAATAAGAATACTAATAATATTGTTCAGCAATTCTATTTCTAGCATCATGATAAAGCATGGAAAGTTACTCCATGCTTTGCAAGATTGTTGGCTCTAT